TTTACACTCCCATCTCTATTTTGTACTGGCATTACCTACATATCTATGTTTAGTTGCAGCTCATGCACAAGGATGTACAGCAAAATGTGTCTCCATCTGAATTACCATTTTGGAGCAGTTAGATTCCTGAGTTGGCTTCAAAAAACTTACTGATTTCTGTATAATTTGGGTAGTTGGACATGCTTTTTTTTGAACTCAGTTTATTCTAAATGGTATTTGATGGATACTAAATTTGGGGTACATTAAGTAATATATTTTTAAATAATGGTGTACCATTTTGAGAATAAGAAGCTGAAGATTATTGTTATATTATTCATTAAAATATGCTGTTGGAATATATTTCTATATTTTGAGACTTAATAAACCTGTAATACTATTTTCTTCTGCTGTGATTTTGCTTTTAAGACACGTGACAAAACGACACTGATTTGATGTGTTCTTTTAAAGGGAAAAGCAAGAGATCACCAATGATTATGAAGAGATTTTGTTATGGCTCATATTTAGTACAGACACTTTGCAAAATTACTTTTGTTACTTCTTAAACTGCAGATGGTGAACCACCTACAGTACTAATAAAAACTGTGCCTTCAAATCATGTCTCTGTGCTAATACCCAAAATATACATTCATAAGGGGTGAAAACCAGAAAAAAAAAGAAGAAGCTGTGTACAGAACTAATGTTATATTAATAGAATCATAGAATCATAGAATTTAGAGGTTGGAAAGGACCTTACAGATCATCTAGTCCCAACCCCCTGGGCAGGGAATGTTATTTGGGATGTGAAGCTTTGAGAAATCTTCTGTTATCATGGTGGGATGTCAGACACTTCTGGTTTGGAATATAATTTTCTCTCCCATTTACCTGGAAAAGGTTGGATTGCTGACTATGTAATACTTCTGTTTTGGTTGGTTGTTTGGGATATTTTCTTTGTTAATTCCTCTTTTGAAACAATTTAATGACTCAAAGATGGTTAAAAAATGATTTAAGCTTGTACTCATAATATTCTGAATTGTTTCATCAATAACCAAATGATTCTAATTACCAGGACTTTTAAATTATGTTATTTGCAGTTTCTACCAACTTTTCTACTCACACATTCAGCTGTGTATAAGGAGAATCTGACATGTGGTGCCTGAATGACGAAACAGCCACATGTGAATTATACAGCATTATCTTTTACTATCTCTTCTGCAGTCACAGAACTTGCAAAATGTGATTTACAACGTGTTACTGAATTCTTACTCACAGGGCTTGAGCAAGAGCTTGATTAAAAACAAAAGAAATCTCAACTAAAAATCCAGCAAAAAGCAGCTAGAGGAGCTTTACTTGCCATCTTAATTCAAATAAATCAGCACCAAACATGGTACATGAGGGGTCAACAATCTCATGTGAATTAAATGGGCCTTTTGTATTCTACTTTCCATATTTACAACACATGACAGACACTTCTCCTGACTGCTATATTTCCAGCTAAATACTTTCTGTATTTCTGCTGTCAGTGAATTGACACCATCAATTATTATTATAAATATTAATGAGGATATTTTAATTGCTTTAGCAGATGCTAAGGCTTTTCAAAAGAAGTATGTGCTATTTGTATTGCTACTTTACAGGTACAGAGAGGTGGAAAGCCTTGCCAAAGAGAAGAGCAGATGAGAGATAACCAGATTTCCAGTATCTCAGTGCTCTAACTCCTCTTCCACACTCTTTGTGAGTGATACATATACTTGGCACTCCTGTCCCAGCAGCTCATAACTTTAAGGGATGACAGGCAGTCTGAGGGGTTACCTGGACCTATACTTTGCATTTGCCAAGTATTTTTTTCTATTTTCATGGTTATTTGTGGAAATAAATTGATAAAACTGAGGGATGTGCAGAGTCCAGACCACACCTTTCCTATGTGTGGGGGGGTTATATTTTAAAGCTACTTCTAGGGAACCCACAAAGCTCATCTTGTAGCAGATCTTGGAGCACCTTTTCAACAGGGTCATAAATCTGCACCAGTAGAGTTGAAGGCAATGTTACATCCCTCCCTTTTCTTACATTTTCCTCCTGCTCAGTGGGAAGTTCAGCAATGTGTTAAGACTGGGACTGTGTTCATATCTGTGTAGCAGAGGTTCTCAGGCCAGATGTTGGCTGGAGATGTGAGAGCAACATATTTTCTAGGGAACATCTCTCTCAGAGATATTGAAGTAGAGATGGGGGAGCTGGATCTTCTCTGTAAAGCTCATCCTGGTCTCTTCTGGGTCTCCAACTGACTTGTGAGCAGAAACATTTGTGAAAATGAAAAAGCTCTTTGATTAAATTGTAAGGAGAAAACTTGGAGTGGGCTCTTTCTGGCATCTCTGCCCCCATAAATTCGTTGACAAAGGAGAAATCCAGGCTTGAATCCGGAGCTACTCAACTGCACAGGGACCAAAAGTTGGACAAGACATGATGAAGAAACATGGCACATATATCAAACTCCTCAAACAGATCTAATTGGAAAATAAAGCTTTTCATGCCTGATTATTTTCTTAGTTGCTGAACTGTCTTGTATTAACTTGCCACAAGAAAGTGTGTTCCCTTTTATCCAGGCCAATTTTACATCCCCCACTGGGATTCCTTTTCAAAATTAGTGTTTCTCCCTTAACCTCTGCAATGGCTCTTTTTAGCCTTCTCTGCATGTTATCTGTTTTATTATTCAAGACTAAGAGCTCCCACAGGGGATGCTCTTTCCTAGACTGTGCTGCAGGGATAGAACAAAGACAAGATCTGCCAAGTCAGTTATTTGTTTAATTGGGACGTGAATCTTAGAGAAATCTTTTTGCTTACTTTTTCTTTCTCTCTTTTTTTTTTTTTTTATGTACACATTTAGGATTTTTCTTGGTTTGCTGTCTTGGTATGAATTCTTGGGGGTAATGATATGTAGGTAAATGCATAGAGTTTAACAAAATCTTTCTGTGAAAAATATTATCAAGAAACAAAACTTCTTAATTGCTTTCCAATGTAACAATGGAATTGGTATAGCTAGTGAAAAAATTGGATTCCCCATAAAGGGAAGAGTTTTTAGCAAACTACTGAGCCTGGTTATATTTCATGGATGAAAATCTATGAATTTAGTCAAAATTTAAGAGTTTCTAATTCGCAGGACCTACAGTGTGTAACTCAGGACATATATCCAAGGACCAGATCTCTGTTCTCAGGTACACTGGTGTGCAAACAATATCTATCAAAATTAACAGTGTCCTTGATATATTCATAAACATATTTCTGATTCTGGACACTGAGGAAATGAGGATGTTTTTCATGCCAGAATACAACTAACTGATTAATTCTCAAATTTCTTCTCTTTATGACCAAGGCCTTATGCTTTGACTCTTTTGTCTCACCTATTGTCCTGGTTTAACCCCAGGTAGCAACCAAGAACCATGTGGCTGCTCACACACTCCCCCACCAATGGGATGGGGGAGAGAATCAGAAGGGGAAAACCTAGAAAAACTCATGGGTTGAGATAAAGACAGTTTAATAGGGAAAGCAAAAGCTGCACACACAAGCAAAGCAAACAAGGAAATCATTCCCTGCTCCCCACGGGCAGGAGGTGTTCAGCACCTCCAGGAGAGCAGGGACCATCA